ACCTAGTAGGCCTCAAAGTCTTTTTCCAAATAAACTTTCAAATATAATATCCTATACCTCATATTAAAAAAGTCTCAAGAATAAAGCAAAATAAGGAAAACCTAGGTCAAAGAGAAAAAAGAAACTGTAAAATATTATATGAAGGAGACACAAGATTAAGAATTCTTGGCAGAGAGTTGGAAAGTATAAAAAGGAAGCACAGAGCAGATGCAGGAGGGAAAAAAAAGTCTTCAACTGAAAAATATAATAACCAAACTTAAAAACTCATTAAGTAGGTTTAATAGCAGCTTAGACACAAAGAAATTTAGTGGTCTAAAATGTGAAGAAAATAAAACAGGAAGGTATGACCCCTTCAAAGGAAGAATTTTAATTGACAGAAACCCCAAGGAAAGCTAGATACTGGACTTACCAAAGACTTTAAATCAACTGTCTTTAATATGCTCAAAGAGCTAAAGGAAACCAGGAAAATAATACACAAACAAAACGAAGATATCAATAGATAGACACTATAAAAAGGACCGGATAGAAATGTAAGAGCTGAAAAGTATAATAAATGAAATTTTAAAATTCACTACAGGGGCTCACCAGGAGCTTTGAGCACCTGGAATAAAGAATCAGTAAACCTGAGACACTGAATTGAAATGACCAAGTATGAGAAGCACAAAAAGAACAAGGAAAAGTGCCTTGGGGATAGGTGGTAAACCTTTAAGTGGACCATTATGCACATCATGGGAGTCACAGAACAAGAAGAGAAAGTCCAGAAATAAACTCTAACATATATGGAGAAATAATTTTTGACAAGGGTGCCAAGACCACTTAACAGGAACAAAAGACCATCTTGTCAACAAATTCTGCTGGAAAACTAGATAACTACATATAAAAAAAGAAGGTGATCCTTACTTTAAGCCAAAAATTAATTCAAAATAGATCACAGATCTAAATGTTAAAGCCCAAACTATAAAACTCTTCTAAGAAAACAGAGGAGGAAACTTCATAACATTAGATTTGGCAGTGATTCCTTGGATAGGCAACAATAGAAAAAAGATGAATGTAAACACTTTTGTGCACTAAAAGGGCCTATCAACAGAGCAAAAGGCAACCAATAGAAAAGGAAAATATTTGCAATTCACATATCTAATAAGGGGTTAATACTGAGAATATACAGAGAATTCTTTAAACTCAACAACAAAAAAAATGAACAACTTGATTCAAAAACGGGCAAAAGACTTGAATAAACATTTCTCCAAAGAAGATACGCAAATAGCCAACAAGCACATGAAAAGAAGTTCAACATCACTAATCATTAGGGAACTGTAAATCAAAACCATAAGACACCACCTCACAGCTGGCAGGATGGCTACTATCAAAAAAAAACCAAAAACAGAAGATGTGGAGAAAAGGGAACACTCCTACACTGCTGGTGGGAATGTAAACTAGTACGTTCCTTTTGGAAAGACATCTGGAGAACACTTAGAGAACTAAAAATAGACCTGCCATTTGACCCTGCAATTCCTTTATTAGGTATATTCCCAGATGACCAAAAATTGCATTACAACAAAGATATTTGTATCAGAATGTTTACTGCAGCCCAATTCATAATTGCCAGGTCATGGAAGAAGCCCAAGTGCCCATCAATCCACGAATGGATCAACAAACTGTGGTAAATATACACCATGGAATACTATGTAGCCATTAAGAAAGAGGGAGACTTTACGTCCTTCATGTTCACATGGATGGAGCTGGAGAATGTTCTTCTAAGCAAAGTATCACAAGAAAGGAGGAAAAGTATCCAATGTACACACCCCTATTATGAAACTAATTTATACCTTTTATATGAAAGCTATAACCTAATAACAACCTAAGAATACGGGGAAGGGGGAGGGAGGGGGGAATGGGTGGAGGGAGGGGGGTTGGAGGGATCACCTCTGTGGTTCATCTCACAAGGGTACAAGTGAATCTTTCTATGAGTAGAATATGAATGTTTTAACACAATAACTAAGAAAATTACGTGAAGACTATGTCAACCAGTTTGATGGAAGTGTTTCAGAATGTTTGTGAAAACCCCACACTGTACCCCAGAAGTGCATTAATGTACACAGTTACTATTCATTAAAAAAAAAAAAAAAACAGAAAATAAATAGTATCAGCACAGATGTGGCGAAACTGGAACACTTGTACACATGTTGTGGGAACATCAAATAGTACAGCTGCTGTTGAGAACAAAAACAGTATGGTAGTTCCTTAAAAAATTAAACTATAATTACCACATGATCCAGCAATTCCACTTCTAGTTTTATACCTAAAAAAATTAAAATCATGGTCTGGAAGAGATATTTGTACATCCATGTTTGTAGTAGCATTATTAATAATAGCTAAAATATGGAACCAACACAAGTGTCTTCCAACAGATGATCCTGACATGTTAAAAAACATGGATGACCTTTGAGGACATTATGTTGAATGGAATAAACCAGTCAGAAAAAGACAAATATTGCATGAGTCCACTCATGAGGTATTAGATTAGACAAATTCATAGCCATAAAAAGTAGAATAGGAGCTGGGGAAGAGGATGGGAAGTTAGGGCTTAATGGGGACAGATTTTCAGTTTTATAAGATGAAAAGAGTTACGGAAATGGTGGTCATGGTTGCTTAGTATTTGGAAAGCATTTAGGACCACTGAACTACACACTTAAAATGATCAAGATGGTAAATTTTATGTGTATTTTAACACAACAAAAAATAAATTGGAGGGAAAAGAAAGGAATGAGGTTCTGACACATATTTCAACATGGATGTACCTCAAAAACATTATGATTTTACTTACATGAAGTATCTAGAGTAGTCAAAGGTCTAAAAATAGAAAGCAGAATGGAGTTACCAGAACCTAGGGAGCTAGAGGTATGGGGAGGGGCTGGGGAGTTTTATTTAATAGGGACAGAAATAGGATAATGAAAAAGTTCTGTGGATGGATGGTGGTGATGGTATCACAACAGTGTGAATGTACTTAATGCCACTGAACTGTACACTTAAAAACGGTTAAAATGGTGTTAGGTATATCTTACCATAATAAAAAGAATAGTAAAAACAACCTAAAACCCTAAATACTTAATAAGAATCAAAAACATCTGTACAACAGAATTCACTTTACTAATCCTAAATGCTGATGTGACTGGAGCCAGACAACACAGCAAACGACCCCTGCCCAGCCACAGAGTGAAGACCCTGCAGGGCCTCAGACCAAATTCCTAGAATAACGGGATTCAATTGAGAATGGATCTGGGGAACCAGATGGATGGAGAGACCTCCCAGTTGGCAGGGTTCTGTGATCCTTCAGAAGAAAAATAAGGGTATTTTAGCTTGCGGCTGGGGGTGAGGATGTGGAAAGGGTAAGAAGCAGATTCTCTGGAGCACCCTCACCACAGCAACGAAGATGGACAATATAGGTCAAGAGTAAGTCCCAGAATAAAAAGAACTGAAAGTGCTGTAAGTGTCTTATCACAGTGCAGCTAAACCACAACCCAGTGATGAAAAGGTCCTTAGAAAATTAACTACTATAGGCAGTGCCTGTGGCTCAGTGAGTAGGGTGTTGGCCCCATATACCGAGGGTGGCAGCTTCACACCTGGCCCCGGCCAAACTGCAACAAAAAATAGCCAGGCGCTGTAGTAGGCACCTGTAATCCCAGCTACTTGGGAGGCTGAGGCAAAAGAATCACATAAGCCCAAGAGCTGGAGATTGCTGTGAGCTGTGATGCCACTGCACTCTACTGAGGGCGACAAAATGAGACTCTGTCTCTAAAAAAACAAAACAACGACAACAACAATAACAACAAAAAAGCGAAAATTAACTACTAAACTTCAAATCACTATAAATTATAACATTCTGAAAGGAATGTTAATGGAAATGCTACATACCAAAATTTTTGTGACACAGCTAAAACCATTAGAGGGTGCTGTATAGCATTGAATGCCTACACTATAAAACAAAGTCTAGACATCCACGAGTTACACATCTTAAAAAACTTTCTAAAACAACACAATACCCAAAGACAGAAGGAAAGAAATAATAAAAAGAAGCAATCAATCAAAACTACAACAAAGAAAATCAGCAAGACAAAATGTGTTTGAGAGAGAAAAAAAGAGACCGAGAGGAAGCAGAAACCACCAATATAATGAAAAATAGGATATCACTGTACATCCTACAAAAAATCCAAATGGTGTTAAAACTGTAAGATCAAATCCATAACAACACTCTTCCCTCAAGGGAAGAATAACTAATTAATACAGCAAAATACAATCAGAATGTAGGTAGTGTATATGTGTGTTCACTGCAGAATTTTCAACTCTTCTGTGTGTTTGGAATTAAAGTACTGTAAAAGATCATACAGGAATGTTTTCCACACTATAACAAATAAATACTACTCTAGCCCAGATGGCTTTACCAATGAACTTTACTAAACATTTAAAATAGAAATAGCACAAGTCTTCCACAAACTCCTACAGAAAGCTGAAAAAGAGGGAACATGCCTTTAGAAAACACATTATAGGCCAAAACCCCTAAGATCAGATCCTCATTTCTGTCCAATGTTGGGACAGGGACGATGTGCACACCTGCCCCATCTCTGGCTTGGGGACAGACAAAACTCAGGTGGAAGAGGATCTGTCCACCAAGACAAGGCTGCCCCTGTCAGCTCTGAGCTTCAGAGCTGGGGCTGCCTACACCTGATCTCTGGAGCCATAGTCCAGGCCCTGTCTGTCTCTTTTACTAGTTAGCTGCAGGGCATGGACAAATTGTATACCTCCCAATTTGTACAGTGGGAAAGCCTAATTCCCAGGGAGTGATAAGAATGAATTCAGATCATGAGAGTAAAGAGCCCAACACAATACTCATCTGTCACACAGGATGCTAGCAAATACCCGAGGCCACAGCCACCCAACCCCAGGAGCACCCAAGCCCTGCCCTGCACTCACAGCCCATGCCTCATCGGGGCAGCCCGGCCCACCTGGGCTTCCATGTCGTGCAGCTTCTGAGTCTGCTTCAGCTGGTTGAGCGTGGGCTTCAGCTGCGCGGCCCCCACCGTCTTGCTCGTCCACTCGTCCACCAGCTTGTGCAGGTCGTCTGTGAAGGTGCCCTTCTTGTTGTTGCTGTTGTTCACCTGCGCCTGGACGTGCAGGGTGGGCTGAGGGCCTGGCTCAGGGCCTGGGGCCAGGCTGCTGGTGGAGGACCCTGGGGAGTCACATACAGGCCAGGATTGGTGATGCCACACACTCGCCCATGCCCCTAATGGGCTGGATGCACTCATTCTTACATGACAGCTGAGACAATCGTCTCACTTCAGCCAGGCGGCACCTTGCTTCAAGAGGCGGTCTGGATTAAAGGGCCTAGCTACCCTGTTTTAGATATGGTGGGGCATATCCATGGGCTATGCCAGGTGGCTGTTACTATCTCACAAGCCAGGCCAGGGGACAGGAACCTGTGGCAGCTAATAGCCTCTGTTCAGGATCCACTCTGCACCCACTGCTGCCTGTCCCTAGACTCTTGTGTGAGTGACCTCAGGAAACTGCTAGCAAGGCCAGACACACATGTACTTTGGCCTAGGGTCCAGATTCCTCAGGCTCTCTCTGGCCTCTGCATCCTCAGCTGTGGCGTGAGGATGGGGGTGGGTGGGAATACTTTGTGCAGAGTTCAGCACACGGTAGCTATGGCTAGCTTGCTGGCAACCCTTGGCCTATGGGAAAATGCTTGCCATAGGCTGCACTATTTGCATTCCCATGAACTCTAATGGCTTGGTTGTTTGGAATTCAAGACAGAGAAATGGCACCTTTCCTTACTAGAGCATTTGGGGAGTGTATAAATAAATACTTAGAGCCACCTGACGTGGGCTCTACTACCCCTAGCCATGGACTGGAGCAGGTGCTGGGAAGTGGGAGAGAGCTGGGAGCCCATCTGAGGAGATGAGCACTGAAAGATTTATTTTTTATCACCAAAATGGGACCTCTTTATTTTTAAAATTGTATCCCTCCCCCCACACACACACCATTTCCAGTTGAATTTTGAATAAGCCAATTAAAAGTTTTTCTGCATTAGAAAAATAACCTAATGACCATCTCTTCAAACAAGCTGTCCCAAAATGTAGTGGACTTTAGTGGCCAGCAATGAAAAAGCACAGATACAAACAATTAAAAATTAGTGATGAGATCTTTACAAACACGGAGCTACTCCTACATGAAAAGTTCAGCCAGAAAAGAAAAAAAAAATTAAAAAGAGATGAGAGAGACAGAGACAGAGAGAGAAGTGAGTGGCCCAGGTAGACTAATACCCACTCAGTCCGGGTATCTCTCCTTGTGGGGAGGCACTCATCTCTAGGACTTCAAGGAAATACTCATTCCTACGGTTTTGGAAAAGGAGCCAATTAATGTGTGGTAGTTTGTGGATGTTCTGGAGAAGGATAAGCCTGTTAGACGTGAACTGGCGAGACTACACAAACTCTAGGAGCCATGGAGACACAGAGGGGAGCTGAGGGCAGCTACTCTGCCAGGCAGAAGCAAAGCAGCGCCCAGCAGAGGGGCACAAACAGGCTCGGAGCAGGGCCACGCCCGCCCGGCTGCAGAGACCCTGATGTGCACTAGCCACAGTAAAGCCCATGCGATGAGAGAGGACAAAGGGGGAAAAAAACCCAGATAATTACTACTGCTGTGTTCTTTGCCTAGGCAGAGACGCTTCAGGGCAGACCCTGCAAGGGAAAAAGAAACGACACAAGACCACAGGGTTAGGCAGAACAGCACACACCAGGACACGCTACCACACTTTAAGCAAAAGTCGTCAGTGTGCAGGGAGGGGTAGACACAAGGCAGCAGTTCAGAGAGAAGGGCCGGCCCGGCCAGGGGTAACTGGGCCGCCCCCCAGAGTTAGCGTGCAGGCTCACAGGAGCTTCACTGAGGCGGAGGAGGGGCCAGGGCCAAGCCCCCCAGCTTCAGGGATAAGAGTTTGTCTCTAGAAGCATATTCCAAGAAAGAAAAAGAGAAAGAAAAAAATGAAAAAATAAAAAGCAAAGCACACTGGTTGGCTTTCAAATGTTGGGCTTTGGGGAGCCCCACTGGTTGAGGCAGAAAAACCCACTGACAGTTGCCATGAGAGCTCCTGAATGGAGCTGGGCACAGCCTGGCCTGGCCTGGCCACCCAAGCCTGTCAGAGGTTTTCCAGGTGCAAAAAGATACATTGTTTTGCAGGTTTGAGGCCAATTCTGGATCCTAGTTGGTTGCCTTGGATGAGGTCAGCAGTAGGCGTAGAGAAGGGAAATACAAGGGTTTCTACCTAAGGGCTGAACCCAATATTTTGGGACATTGCTGACTCTAGCAGTCCACATTCACAAGGGTCAGGGTGAGGATTCCGTTTGGAACATTGCAGCCTTATTTTTGGACCACCACTAAGCAGACCAGTCCTGCACTTCCCAGAGGCTGTCTGGTGTACACTAAATGTAATGTTGTGGTTGGTGAGTGCAATCTGGAGGAACAGCCACACTGGCTTGTTCTGTGGCCTTCCAGGGAGCTGGGCAGGCAGAGCTGGGATGGGCAAGAACAGGCTCAGACTTCCCCAAGGTCACTCAGCAAAGACGGGCAATCACAGAGGGTCTATCTGCACTCTGCCCATGGCCCCCTCACCAGGAGCACACTTCCTCCCCTGCAAAGACCGGCTCCCCAGGAAGGGAGCCCACGTATAGTGCCACTCCCAGAAGACCTAAAAGGTGATACTTAAGCCTTTCAAGGACTTGGGAAACCTGGCAATGTCCACCTTCCTTCACACCTCTTGCCTCAGGGGATAGCAAGCAAACTCTTGGCCCAGCTCTGTGGCCTGAGCTTAGCCCAAGCTGTGTGTACAGGACTTAGAAACCTAGCTCAAATGTACTTAGTATTTTTAGCTCGTTCTATATGTTCTCATCAGCTAAGGTGGAAGAGGAAAGTGAGGTGGTATTCTGTTGGGGAGTCTTTATTTTTCTTTCTTGAGAGCATCTCATTCTGTCACCCAGGCTAGAGGGTAGTAGCATCATCATAGCTCACAGCAACCTCAAACTCCTAGGTTCAAATGATCCTCCTTCCTTAGCCTCCTGAGTAGCTGATATCCCACTATAGGCTTATACCACCATGACTAGCTAATTCCTCTATTTTTAGTGGAGATGGGGTCTTGCTCTTGCTAAGGCTGCTTAGAGTCTTTAATGTTCAAATAAAAAAGAAGAAAAGGATTGGGCAGGAGGATGGATGCACTTGGATGAACATCTTTGAAGGGCTGTGTCCCCACTGGTCTATATTCTCAGATGAACCTCTACCAGGAACAAAGCAGGTGTCCTCTTGGGAGCTTATCACAGTGTGGAGGGGAGGTATGGTTTGCTTACTACAGCATAAGAAAGATCCCTGAGGTCTGCAACTGTGGCCTGAGCTCAGACCCAGCATACAGCAGATCAAACGAGCACCAATTTCCCTGCTGGGTTCTATGTAGGGCTGCAACAGCTCCCTATGAATACCCCTAAAACAGAAGGACTGGTGATCATGCTGAGTCCCTGAAGCCTGCTTGCAAAAGTAGGTGCTTTAAAAAGCTGCTCTGTGCCTCCCTGGTGTGGCTGAAACTCCTCATTCAGAGCTATCAGTTTGGTGCAAAAGTAGCCACAGTTTTTGGGTTGCTGAAATTTGCTGTTTGATACTGGAATACATTCTTAAATAAACATAGTTATGTTATACATTATTTTAATGGGCATTTCTCACTTAATTTTTTTGCTAATGACTTATTGCTGTTTATTTGACATTTATTTTGGACTATAGAAATGATGTTAGAAAAAAAAGCAAATTCAAGTGAATTTCTTATTCAAGTTCAAAATGGGCCATTAAGCAGCAGAGACAACTCACAGCATCAAAAAGGAATTGGGCCCAGGAATTGCTAACCAATGTATAGTGAAGTGGTGTTCAAGAAGATATGCAAAGAAGACTACAACCTTGAAGATGAGGAACATAATGGCTGGCCATCGGAAGTTGACAACAACCAACTGAGAGCAATCATCGAAGCTCACAGAGAAGTTGCCCAAAATCTCAATGTCAAACATTCTATGGTCTGTCAGCATTTGAAGCAAATTGGAAAGGGAAAACAACTAAATAACTGGGTGCCTCATGAACTGACTGAAAATCAGAGCAATTGTTTTCTAGTGTTGTCTTCTCTTATTTATGCAACAATGAACCATTTCTTGATTGGATGTGACATGCAGCGAAAAGTGGATTTCACACAACAACCAGTAATGACCAGCTCAGTGGTTGGACCAAAAAGAACTCCAAAGTACCCCCCAAAGCCAAACTTGGACCAAAAAAAGGTCATGGTCACTGTTTGGGGGTCTGCTATTGTTCTGATTCACTCCAGCTTTCTGAATCCCAGAGAAAACATTATACCTGAGAAGTATGCTCAGCAAATCGATGAGATATACCCCAAACTGCAATGCTTGCAGCCAGCATTAGTCACCAGAAAGGGCTCAGTTCTACACAACAACGCCCTACTGCACATGTAGCACTTCAAAAGTTGAATGAATTGGGCTATGGGAGTTTTGCCTTATCCACCACATTCACCTGACTCTCTCTAACCAACTGCCACTTTTTTAAGCATCCAGACAACTTTTTTCAGGGAAACTGCTTCCATAGCCATCAGGATGCAGAAAATGTTTTTCCAAGAGTTTGTGGAATCCTGATTTTTATGCTATAAGAGACATGAATTTTTATACTATAGGAAGCATGGATTTTTATGCTATAAGAAGAAACAAACTTATGTCTCATTGGCAACAATGTATTGATTGTAATAGTTCCTCTTTTGATTAATAGAGATGTGTCTGAGCCTAGTTATAATAATTTAAAATTCACGATCCGAAACTGCAATTACTTTTCCACCAATCTAATAATTCCCAGCTACCATCATCCTGGGAAGAATAGAAGACAGGCCAGCTACTGGTTGGGAACCACCAGAGGGAGCCCAGACCTGCAATTAGAGCTAAACCCAACACCCTATTCTGGGAACCCAATGTCTGCCAGGTCCAGCAGACAGGACACATGCTTAGAACTGGGGAATGATACCAGCCACTGGAGGCCCTCATAGCCTTCCCAGACTCAGGCCCCAGGTGACCAGAGCATAGATGGTTTCTGGCCCTCAGGGCAAACTCATGGATGCCCACCCCTCAACCTTAAGGACACACTGCCCAGGGTCACAACCTGGCTGGTGGTAGACATCTGGCCACCCTCTGACAGCACGGATCATCTTTAGACAGCTTCTTAGTCCACATCCCCACAGTGTCTCTGCTCTGGCCTGAACTCTGCCCCTCACTCTGTGTCAGAACAAACACCCCCAGGCCCTGCCCATGAGGCAGTGATGAGACAGCAGAAGAACCCTCAGGAGGCAGATGGCTTAAACCACACAGCCTCCCTGCAGAACTCCAGTGAAGAGCCAGCATGGAAGCCCTGGACTACTCAGGCGGGTGCTCAGGGTGGGGCTTCGTGGCTTCACCCCAACTTTTGGGAAATACACTATTTTCTTCCCGCAACATAAAAGAATCAGCACAAAGATGAAAGTAGGGCTGGTTCTTAGACTCAGTGTCCTCTGCTCTTATCCAGCAGCTGTCTGGATAAGCCCTCTGGCATGAGCTGCTGGCTGCCTGCCTCTCAGGGTACTGAGGGGAGGCCCCCCACCTTGCTCCACCCAGGATCCTGCCTGGCACAAAAAGAACCTGCTCTGGGGGTGACAGTCCCACCCTCTCCTTGGCACCAGCACTCACCACTGTCCAAACCCTTGGCTGTCTACAGGGAGGACACCTCCAACACGAAGAAGTTCAAGCCAAGGGCATCTGACAGGGACAGATGGCTTAAAAAGTGGGTCAGCCCTTGAACAGCCCCCCACATTTGCTTTCTACATTACAGTGTTCACATACTGATGTAGTCCCCACAACACAGCAGGAGCAACAGCCTCACCACAGTGCCAGCTGCGGAGGCCCACCTTCCCTCATAGGCTGGGCAGGGGACTTTGCCTCACCATACTCACAACCTCAGGGGGGCTGGCCTCACCCCATAGTTGCCATTGGCTCCCTTTTCTGGCACAGGAAAAAAACGGGCATCCAAGGCTAAACCCCGCTTTGGGTATCTATATATGGAGCAACCATGTTTTCATGTCATCCTGGGGTCTGCAGCACAGGGTCCCGAAGCTCATGGGCTTGCCCCATGGACAGCCTGCAGAGGCAAACTGTACTGACCGCCCAAGCCTGACCACATGGGCTGCCTAGGATGCAGAGGCTGGGGCCCAGTGAGCACATGTAGGGCAACAACCCTACTCTCTGGGTGCCCTCTGCCCCTGGGCCTCCCCCGTACTACTGCAAAGAGCCCTGCTGAGCACTCACTCTCCCCATGCCAGGGAGGGACAAAAACATTCCAGGGTAGGGGAGGCTCAGGAGAGCCCCACAGTGGCACCTGAGGGCCCCTGAGCCAAGTGTGCTATAGCCAACAAATCATCTGAAGAAAACACAACATGAGACCCATGTTTCCTGCGGGCACAGAGAAAGGCCTGCAAGGGAGTCAGCACCTGCCCAGTCAGGTCAAAAGGACAACAGCTTCTGATCAGCAGAATTGCCAGGGCGCTGTCTCAGGGTCGGTACCTAGACCCCTCCTGCCTTGGCTCAAGATCACCATCCTTTAGGATGCACCAGGGCACCTGAGCTCTCCCCAGCATGTGTCAGCCACAAGGAGGGGTCCTGTAGGTTGGACACAGTCTGCGCCTAGGGCCCAGTTCGTAGGGTAATCTATCAGGAGCCTGCCTACCTGATGCTCCTGACCTCAGCCTACTCCCTATCCCTCCATACAGCCTCCAGAACTGCCTGCTGCTCTCCCCAGCCCGGCCACCTGGGCGCCCCTAGCACACCCTCTAACCTGGCCACAATCCAGCTTGCTTGGGGCTGTTTCATCTTCTTTGTGCTTGATGGAGGCAGCCATCTGTCTGTACTTCAAAACTTAATCCCCATTTTGTTTGCATGGAGCTTTCTAATTTCTTCCAGAAATGAGGGGCCAAAAGTTCCCCCTTCTCTTCAGGGCTTCCCTGTAGGTTAAGCCAGGAGCCAGCAAATGTTATAAACAAAGGGGTAGCTCAAAGAGAAGCCCAATCTCTACTGCCCACAGGCTAGGGGCACACAGGGCGGGACTGGAAGGCAGTCCCAGCCATGTTCTGTGGAGCAGGAGGGGGAGCTCAGAGGCCCAGAACTGAATCTGACAGGCCTTAAAAGGCACCCAGGGCAGAAGCCCACCTGGCCTCTCCCTGACCAGCAACTTCAGAGCACACAGGGACACAATATGACCCGAAACAACCAGGAATCAGCTAAGGCTTGCCTGACGGGCTGAGCTGTGAGAACAAGCAAAACCATGGAACACAGCACTGAGGTGGAAACAAAGCCTGGCAGCACACCTAGAAACCAACCCACCTACGCGAAATCCCCAGGTACCATCACCCCTGGAGACAATCCCAGCACAAACCACACAGGCATGAACCAGAAGAGGAACAGCAAGTGAGGCATCAGGCGAGCAGGGGAGGACAAGGTTATTGCAAAAGGTTTGAGGGCCACATGAGGCCCTTCTGACCCCTCCCCAGACTCGACTCAGCAGCTAACCAGACACCAGACTGCAGAACCAATCGGCCAGACAACACTGCAGCAGGACAAAGCACCCAGGTAAATGACCAAGCAGCCCCAGGGGAGTGCCTGGCATTTCTACTTGGCCCTTGTGTCCTCAACCTGCCCGCCTGGAGAATGGTGACCCACGTGGACCTCTGATGGGGGTGGGCTGATGGCAATGGACGCCTCCCATGGACGTGGCCTCTGGCGCCCAACAAGCACAATGTATCTTTATTGTACAAGCAAAAAGTCAAGTGCCCCAAACCAGCATATCCAATCCAATTGTTTAAAAGCTTTATTCTTAAAAATATTAATTTTCCTATCAAAAAGACAAAAACCTAAAAGCTCCACAGCTTTTGATTCATTTGCCAATCATTCTGAGGGTTAAAAAACCAAACAGCACAATTTTGGGGGGCCCCAAGCAGGTCTGCCTTCCCAGGAAATAGAAATCCTGGGCACTAAGAGCCTGTTCCAGGGTATATGGGCAAGACTGGAACTGAGTTATGGTTCAGTGGAGATTCAAGGAACTATGTCACTGACTTTATCCCTGTGGTCACATGAGGTCACAGGAAAATACACCAACTAAAGTATTGCAGCTGTATGGACAAGGAGGAAGGGACAGCCAGGAAGGGGGCACACTCCAAACAGGAGCTGTAGGGGGAAGCTGTCAGTCCCATCTTTGGGGTCAGAGAGGGCAGAAAGATGACAAAGGGGAACAAATCTCCCCTTGCAGTGGGGAGGGGGCTCAGGGCCTGAGCAGGAGGACGTTATCTCAGCATTTCCACATGCAGGGAGAGGGCGGGGTATGTGCAGTGCTGGGCATTGGGCTTAGGCCCTGGTACAGAAGCCACACCCTCCAGTGACCATTAGAACCATGTGGGCTGGCTACATGCGTGTCTTCACAGTCCAGACATGTGTGACACACACCATGCATCTGGAGAAGGTTGGGGTTGTCTTTTTGTTGTCGCTGGAACTGGGGATAGTGGACATGTATATTTGCCACATTTGCAACAGAAAAGAACTACATCCAACATTAAAAAAAAATTAAATAAATGAGGTGATGAAAAAAAATGCAGAGGTTCCCTGGTACATCTGGGCAGAGGTGCCTGAGGCGGAAGGCAGGCACCCCGCTGCACATGCTGTTGGTGCCCAGGCATGAGCCAAGAGCATGCACACGCGGTGTGGGGCCACGAGGAGGGGGGCGACAGCCGCTCCGAGGGACCAGCTCACAGGGTTCCACTTTTGATATTAAATAGGTGATTTCGGTGTCAGGGGGGAGGCATCCTATGAAATGTATGAAAGGTAATGAAGACAGGGAGAGCATGGGGCGGGGAGAAACCAAGGGCCAGGAGGTGATAAAATACAAAAGAACAAATACAGACAGATGGACACAGATACGGGTCCACTGAGGAATCGAGCACGAGGTTTGCTACTAGACTTATAGGTCACTCTCTCAGACGTTGGGTGGTAAACCGTCCAGCCTGCAAATGAATATAAAGGGAAGAAAACAAAGAGACACTCATCAAGTACAGGTTGCTGCGATTCCTCCTCCACATCAACAGCCACACCAGCCTCGTCACTTAACATCCACGGCTCCATCTAGCCCAGCCCAGAGCACCAAAGCCACTGACCATGTAATGGGAAGGTGGAGCGTAGGAGCGGAACAGAAGCGGCCGGGAGGAGGGGGGGCGGGGCAGGGCGCCTTCATGGTCACCATGATTTCTCAGGACAGAGATGGTGAGGACAAGAGAGCACCTTATCAAGAAGTTGCTGCCATCCACGACAGCAATGACAAGAAAGCATTTCCTCCTAAAGGCCAACTCCCAGCTTGAAAGCTGTGCCCTTGTCCCCCAGCTGTCCCTCCAGACTTGGGAAGGACCTGGTGTTTAGCACCATCTGGCTCCACTGCAGGGAGTGGGGTGGGGGCAGGCAGCCAGTGCCTAGAACGGGCACCACAGAGCACACAGCCAGACGCCAGGTCCCCTCCCCTCCCTGGTCCTGGCCACTTCCCTGAGGTCCGCTCTAGCAAAGCATCACCTCCCTCTGAGCTGCTTACAGCAGGACTTGGTGGTGGTTGGGACTCTTCCATTCTTTTCATCCAAAGACTACATCTTTTTCTTTTCCTTTTTTAGGAAGCCACTTGGCAGCCTTTGCCACAGCTCGTGCCCCCTCTACACAATACAAGCGTGCTCCTGGGGACACCACTGAGACCCTATGTGGCTAGCACATGCTTAGAGACAGGCAAGCTGGGAATCACCTTGGCCACGCGCTCCGCCTCCATCACTGGCTAAGCCGGAGCAGATGTCCGAAGACAGGGAGGCCCGAACGGAGCAGGGCTGCTGAGTCTGCACGGCCTTCCCGCTTGGGCCGGTGCTGGCTGCAGCGGGCCCCGCACTGGCCTGGGCAGGGTCCTTAGCAGGAGGGCCTTTGCTGGAGTCAGCCAAGTGACCTGGGCGGGGGGGAGAAGAGGCGACAGGCACGATGAGGCGCCGCCGGGCAGGGGCCACGCGGGCTGAGTCTGTTCTGCCTGCTGGTTGCTGGGTGACCTTGGGGAAGGTGAGTCTCCTACAGACAACAGGCATGTGGCTGGATCTCCCATATGGGAGTGTTGGGGAAGATCAAAGAAAGTGCCCAATCTCCACTGGTCCCCAGCACCACGCTGGACTTGTATGGTTCACACACGGTGACAAAAGCTGCACACCTGGGTCCATAAGGGGCCTGTGCACATCTCACCTGAATTAGTTTCCTCTTAGCTTTGGGAACTGACACTGAATTTACAAATTTTGTGCAATTTGTGGATGTGTGTCCTAAAAGTTGTTGGCTTATGGGTAGCTCATGGCAGCTTCCGACATGGCATGCTTGGAGGTTTGAGCTAGAGGGTGTCCACCTCAGAGCACCAGGGCTCTCAGGCAGCATGTATGTGGCAGTGCCACTCAGGAGGCCTCAGGAAGCCCTGACAGGCATAGGTATGGGCTCCTGGCTGCCTGGGGTCAGGCCAATGCCACTGCAGTGACCAGATGTCATATTTAACAAAACCAAGAGATTGTCACCATTCTCCCCTCACCCACAAAGAACAGCTGTTTATCGCGTAAGTGCTGGAGAAAAGGGGTCATATCCCTCTGAGACAGTGCCCTGCAGGGAGGAGCAGGTGGGGGGTACCACTTTGACCTTCTCTGGCACACCCTGCTGCTCGCTCAGGGCTGAAGCCTGGCTCCAGGTGGCCCTGCTCACGCAGACAGGCCTTGCCTCTCTGCACATCAGCCTGCAGCAACTTCCCCATTCCTGTGAAAGGAGACTCAAGAAAGAAGAAAACCCAAGTGGCCTTGCAGGTCTGAGAGTGTCACATCTGCACTGAGTCAACCTCCCAGGCTCACTTGGGGATCCTTGGGCCCCTCTCTCATCCACCTGGAGCAGTCCCCACCCTGAGGCAGACCTGTGCTGGAGGCCACGACCTTGAGCTGCCGCACCAGGGGGTTCAGCAGCTTCCCGGCCTTCAGCTTGCTCTTGCTGGTTTTTCTCCGGCGGCCGGAGGGAGGAGCTGTGTGGAAGAAACCCACGTTGGGGGGCAGCGGCTTGCCCAGCCGGCGGTATAGAGCCTCGATCTCCTGCTTCTGCTGGCTCTGAAGCTCTGAAATCTCCTTCAAGTGCCTAGAGGATGGGGAAAGAGGAGAGAGGGCAGGTGAGCTTCTTCAATTATTTCCAACACCACCAGCCATGGTGTGCCCCTTGACCACGGTCACTTGCAAGAGCCACAGTAGGGCTTTAAATGGCAACTTAAACCAAGAGGGTACCACATTAGGGGCCTCAGGTGTTAACATGCCAAGGACAAGAAAAGGGTAAGTCTAAAGACCTTCACATTTTCAAATATCCATAATTTGTTTTGAGGTTGATTCGATGGTCAGAGACATGTGGATGACTCACATTTACACTTGCAATAAAAGCCCTCCTAAACATTAACACAGTTGAAGAGAAAATTAGCTGGTCCTGGAACTGAGAGATTGCCTCAGTTTACCAGGATAATGTGTGTCATTTCTTCAAGGCAACAAAGAGTATAAGAGGCAGCTCAGATGAGGGTCCAACCCTTCACGAGCACACCTGGGAGACACTTATATCTGGCCAGGGGCTCCCAGTTCCATACAAGCCAGCTGGGTCTAGTGTAGAAGGTTACCTGTCGTCATGCAGGTAAGATAAGGGAGATCAGTGGATGCAGCTAATGGCAGGTGCTAGGCCAGCTAAGGAAGCTGTGGCTTCATGCTGGGCCTCCCTGAGGACTTGCTGGCAGAGTCCCCAGCTGCCACCCTCCCTCCTACATCTTGGTACACTGAGCTTCCATAAGGCCTGATACCAGCCTCCCATGGAGCCCTCTCTGTCACTGCAGGGCCATCTACTCCTCTTACAGCTAAGAAAAAGGGTGGTTTCCACAGTTGGAAATGAGGAAGCAAATTCTGATTTTACTTCCTATATCTTCAATTCCTGCCAAATTTGTTTTTTAAAAAATTACTTTCTTTAGCTACTAAAAATAAAAAAAAAATAAAACCCCAAATGACTTTTCTCCATACAAATACCAGCGAGAAACGGCAAAGGATTATCTGTACCAGATTATCTTTTGAAAGGAGTACTGTCCCAAGAAAGAGTGCTAAATGCCTAGGAGGGCTGATGCCTAGACAGAGGCAGTGTCTTAAACAGAAGGATGTCAGGCCTCTCTGAGGCCTGAGCCCCTCCTACCCGCCCCCCCCAGTCCTCCACCCCATCCCACCCCCGCTGCAGGCCTGAGCCCTCCCACCACCACCCCCCACCAGGTCTGATCCCTCCCTCCTGAAAGGCCCAAGGTCCCCCTACCCACCGCCCTGCTGCCCTGACTGCAATGGGATTCCCATGCTGGGCTTCCCCAACCTGGCTGCTCCAGGAAGAGCCCAGGGAGCCCCAGCCGTCTGAACGCATAGGCTGGGCCAAGCACAGCGCTCTTAGAGCCCTAAGCAACCCCAGTGCTCACACGGGAAACCCCAGTAGAGCCCAGGCACCTGTTTTCTAACGAGGTGTCTAGGTAGTGTTGATGCAAGCAAGGTTCAGGAACCACTGGCTACTTCCTATCAAATGCCACCAACACCCCTGAATTCCTAGATGAGGTTCAAAATTTTCTTCATTTCCTTCTGAATAGTCCACTCCTTTCCACTGGGGACTCTGTTAATCTTAGTATCTATTCTCCTAGGTTGCCTGAACCACCTCTTTTGTCCTTTGGGGTGCTTCTGAATATCTTCCCCTTTCTGCACTCCTGCCAACCACTTCCGCCATCTGTAGGCCCTACCCCACCTCCAGGATCCACCTGTTCACAGCACCTTCTCTCCCCAGTGTTCTCACATGCAGACTCTCTTGACACTTCGGCAAGGCTCCCCTCAGTGATTGGCAGCAGGCTGTGGCCTGGCCACATCTCAGCTCCCCTTTGTGCCTACTGACCACTGGCTCCCCAGGGGGACATTCCCACTGAGAGGCTGCGCCCAGCATCCCCTGCCCTTCTGTCCTGAGAGGTTCCAGATTGTGCCCACCTTGGGACCCATCCCTCACCACCACGAAGGCTCTGCTGGGCCATGAGGCAACAGGGGCCACCTTCCTTGGTGCCTCAGCAGGTCCACCCAGCCCTGCTTTCCTGCCTCTCCTGGCTGGCTCTAGGTCAATACTTCCCAGCTCTTACAGACCAGGGACCCTCAGTAGCTCCTCAATGGGCAGCTCTGATGCCCACCCAGCCTGGGAAGATAATTTCCTCTGCAGGGCACAGGCACACAGAGAGGACCACAGGAGAGAAAGGAGGTGTGCAAAGCTGCTCCTACGTAGGCCTGCAATTTCAAGCAGCACTCAGCTCTCTATCTGCTTTTCAGTTGCTGGTGAATCCTGTGTCAGCCATACCTTAATAACTACACTGCTGGGCTCTACCTTCCACCCTGAAGGACATCTCAGGGTAGCAGGTACCTTGCAGTAAACCCCTGACCACAGTAGTGACAAAACAAATATTCACTGTTAAGAGAAAAAGGCAGAGTGGAGTGAGAAAGAAGAAGGGAAAGAAAAGAATAAAAAAGGGGGGGGGGAGAGAGAAACAGGAGGAGAGGGGAGGAGAGAGAGAGGGAGATGGAGAAAAAGGGAGAGACCGAGAGTGGGAAAGAAAAGAAAAAGAAATGAGAAGACAGAAATAGAGGAGAGAGAGAGAGGTATAGAGGAGAGAGAGAGAGGTAGAGAGGAGAGAGAGAGAGGTAGAGAGGAGAGAGTGATAGAGAGAGAGAGGAAGCACATGACTCACTGAAGCCCTGAGATGTGCCCCTGAGGGCAGTAGGAGGAAGGAGTCAGCAGCAGGAAGAAAAGGGAAGGGAGGCATGGCCCCCAGAGAAGCCAGGCAGATAGAGTGGGGCCCACCCAGCCTGAAGGATGCCCTGAGTGGGGAATGCTCCACACAAAGCCATGGATTGGGTCTAAGTTGGCCTTGTCTCCACCCTGGGCCTGCCTAGCCACTCCAAGTGGCTGCTCTGCCAGGACTTCAGCCTTGTCCTGCAGGCTTCATGCATATGGCAGAGGGGATGCCCTGAGGCAGTCTGACTAACCAGGTAGGCCCCCCCAACCCTAGGACCTACTTCTCCCGAAGACTCTGCAGCTCCTTCTTTATGTCGGCATCCTCGAACTCCGAGTCATTGTCGCTGCTGATGTAGGATGACTGGGAGTGGAAGGAGGTCACACTGATGGTGGGGACCTTCACACCTGCCCTGCTGGGCGTCTCTGAGTCCAGAGAGCCAGTCTGCGAGGGCCTGTGCAGGAAGGCAGTTGCCTTCTTCACCAGGTCGCTGGCTACGCCCCCACCACTGGGCAGGGACACCTGCTTCTGTACTGGGGGCCGCCCCCGAGGGCACTCGTCCCCAGAGTCACTGGACACAGGCTCGCCCACACAGACCTCAATGGAGGAGGCGGTCTGCACCCGCCGCACTGCCAGCTTCATGTCGGGGCTGGAAGGCACCTCATCCAAGTAGACATCAGGTGGGGCGGAGTACCTCAGACTGTGGGGGGAGGCCAGCGTCCACTCATCTTGCGTGCTGACCACTGAGAAGCGGCCCACAGTCTTGGCTGGCGAGCTGCTGTCTTGCTGCCCTGGCCTTTTCCAAGGGGATCCTGAGGCCCGAGTGCCATATGTCTGGGGGTGGCTGGCCTGATCGCCCTCTGTGAGCATCCCCATGCCACTCTGAAGGAGCTCTGTGGTGCTTTCTCCGGGGACTGTGCTGTCTCCAGCCGTGGCCTGCGTAAGTGCAGGACCCGCATCCTTGGGAAACAAGCAGAAATGAAGAGATTCCATGAGAACACCAATAGAGAGCAAACCCCACCATCCAGCCAGGGAGTTTGTCAGAGAATTTGACCTTACCTGGGGGGCACTGGGCACCATGGAGGAGTCTGAGGCCACCTGCCCTCCATCTCTGTCAAAGCCTAGCATGCTGCTGGGAGATGATTTTGCTGTAGGAGCATTGGAAACGTTACTGGGCTGGTGGAGGAGGAAGAGATGGGTGGCGCCTACCAAGCAACCCAAACCAAATCCCATGGAGCTGGCACTTGGGAGGAGCCGCTTGTGTGTGTTCATGACAGTTATGGAAATTGAAAATATGCTGGGATGTCCTAGCTTGCTGGCATTTGATGCATGTCACTTCCTGGAAGATATCCTATCAGCCCCAGACTAGGGGAGAGGTGTCAGCCTCAGGCACCCAGGCACAACCAGGCCCTCTGTGCACCTGAAAGCCAGTACCCCTCCTTGCCCCACTGTCTTCCAACTTCAAAGGGTCTCACACAGCAGAGCAACGTGTCTGGACCAGCCCTACTCACACAGAGAATAGGGAACGTGCACTGTACCTGCAGCTGTCTCTGTGCTCTCTGTCTACAGAGAGGGTGCCTATATATCCCAGGGGTGCCATGAAGAGCCAATAAGAGAAACTGAGCGAGTTGGTGAGGGGCTTGCACTAGAGCTGAGACCCCTGCATGACAAAAGAAACTCCGTATACAGGGCATGAGCCATACCTATGGGCCCCAGAAGTAGGCCACAAGAGCTAACGGAGCCTCCAGGGAGGAAGGGGGGCCACTCTACGCGTACACACACACACATCTCCTTTGCATACCCCATGTGGAAACTTGAAAGGGAATGTTAGTCTAAAATCATATTCCTGAGGAGACTTGGTCCAGTCTCTGTCATGCAGCCCTAACCATGGGCAATGACTAACTCCTCTCCTTATATCCCTGCAGTGGGGAATCATCTGATCTTTCTTTGCATACTTTCAGGGATGGGGGGATCACTACCAACTAAACCTTTTTTTTTTTTTTTTTTGAGACAGAGTTTACTATGTTGCCCGCGGTAGAGTGCCATGGCATCATAGCTCACAGCAACCTCAAACTCTTGGGCTTAAGATTCTCTTGCCTCAGCCTCCCAAGTAGCTGGGACTACAAGAGCCTGCCACAAAGCCCATCTATTTTTTTGTTGTAGTTGTCACTGTTGTTTGGCAGGCCTGGGCAGGGTGCGAATCCACCAGCTGCAGTGTATGTGGCCGGCACCCTAGCCACTGAGCTACAGGAGCCGAGCCAACTACACTTCCTTTATTTCTAAGAAGCTCTAGCTGCTAGAAAAGTTCACCTTTTCCAAACTAGAATCTTAAAGCTTAAAGATTCCCCCACAAGTCCTCTACTCTGGGAAGAGCCTGGACTTGGAGTGCAAGTTTCATCACCTGCAAGTTACTGCAGCTCAGTTTCCTCATCAGCAAAAGGGGCCTGTGGGATACATCTCACAACATGAGGTCAGAGTTGAACGGAATGACAAGGGCAACCTAGCATGTGGCCAGGCACTCTTGCTCAGAAATGACCTCTTGTTTTACCCTTTTGCAGACACTACCACTTCTGCCCATCCTTCATCTTCCCCACACTGAATACCACAGTTCTTCATGTGCATAGCTTCCAACCCCAGCTGTTCCAGTCCCTCTTAAAGCATAGAAATAAGTGTAGCCTGAACTGCAAGGTCCTGCCTGCTGCTGATGTACACTGAGGTTTCTGTTAGAAAGCCCAGCTGGAGCCTCCAGGAAGTTCCAGACTGAGAAGGAACCTCACTCCTTAGAAAGTCAGTTCCTTCCTGAGGAAAGAGACTCAACACTCAGGTAATGAAACAAGAATGAAAGCAAAGGACTTTCCATGGAGATGCACAAAGCCAGGAGCCATGGGGAGACATCTCTGCACCAGGTCTTCAGGAACAGACCTGGCCTTGGCAGCTTCCCAGGAGCTGAAGCATCTCCCCAGCCCCACCACTCCACTCTAGCCAAAATAACTCTGGGTATTTTGTGAGTATCTTGTAATCCTGCCAAAGAAACAAAGGAACTGGGGAAAGTTCACCTGAACATGTTTAGACACTGAGCTGTGGGAGAGCCGGGGGCAGAGACACAGTCCCTACACCATCCTACCATCCACCAGTGGGGCTTATCCATTTCCACAGAAAGGACTTTCTCTCTTTGGAGTATGAGCAAATGTTTTTTTCTAGAACTCAGTGAGTTTTAATTAAGCTTCATCCTAGATACTGTAGGATCCCTTAAAGATAAAAATCTCTAAGGGATGCATTTATTCCCTAAATGACAAAGGGCAGAAATTCAGATGCGGAAGGGAGCAAGGGAGATGGGTGGCAACTTGAGAGTGCAGGGTTGGGCAGCCATGATGGGCTCAGTCACCTGTCATTGGTGAAGATGTGGCCTGCTCCGTCACACCACCTCGAGTATGGGCCAGTTCTGACTTTTCCACCTGGAGGAAGAAACAAAAAGGAAAGAGCTATAAGACTTACTTGTCAATACTTCAGCAGCCAAATCTGCAAATCCATTTCCCCTCCTTCTCTGGAGTTGCCACTGGGTGGCCCCTCCATGCACTCAACACTGTAAAAAGGGGTCACTTATGGCAAGACATGTGTGGGTGAGTCAGGCACCGGCGGGTGGGTCACCGAAAAAAGGATGCGCTATGGGTGAGAGCAGCTCTGCATAGCTGGGATGCCCACCCACCCCCAGAGCTGGCCTCTGCCCCTGACTCACCAAGGGCCGGGGCAGCTGGGCATGCCCTGGGTCCATGTCACCAGGCACCTGGGGCAGGGTCAGGTCTCCCCCACAGACCTCTGAGCGAGGTCGGTCCCCTCTCAGGGGCTCCAGAGTAAAGTCTCTGTCGCCCACCTCCACAGGGGTCCCAGCTGAGGCTGAGGAGGTGGGCACGTGCTCCTGGTAGAGCAGGGTCCGCAGCTTCTCATCCAGGCTCTTGATGGTGCTGTCCACAAAGCCCACCCTGGGGGGTGGCCCCTCTCCATCAGACTCCAGGGCTGAAGGTGGCTGTGCGGGGGCAGCAGGCCCCAAGGGTGGGCTTGGGAGCTGGGAGGCAGCCAGGCTGACAGCCCCCACTGCAGCAGGGAGGGGGACCCCCCCAGGAGGACTGGGCTCAGGGGCAGGAGCCAGCAAGGGCTCCCCTGGGGCACTGGCCTCCCTGACGGAGGTGGACTCCCCCAGACCCATGGCACAGCAAGAAGGCTCCAGAGGTGGGGCGCGAGGTCCTGGGCCCACCGCAAGGGGCTGTGCAGTAAGCTGGGCATCATGAGTCTCTGCTACTGACTGGGGGGTCTTGAGCTCACTGGTCAGCCCCTGATGGGTCCGTGGAACCCCTGCCTGGATGGCAGTCCCTGATGCTGGCTCTGGCCTGCTGCTGGTGGCTGGTGCAGATGCATCTTGGGGTAGAGTAGTCACAGGAGGGGAAGATGGTACCAAAGGGGCAGGTGTCCCACTGGGAGGGTTACTGGGACCCGTCTGGCTCAGGAACTGCTGACCAGCTGGAGGGCCAGGTTGCTCTTTCAAGGGCAGCTGGTCTTTATAGGGTGCTGGATCTAGAAGAAATGGGGAAAACATCTTTGTGCCAGCATACAAAGGTCCTATTTACCTGGCTCTTCCCTTGCACGTCCTGGCCATGGCCTCAGCATGCTGGTCTTCTCTTGTTTCCCAGACACTCCAGATCATTGTCCGCCCCCAGCTCAGGCTGGGCACTGCCTGATGCTTCCACAGATCTCTGAGCCACTGACTTCTTACCTTCAGGGACTTGTGCCAACAGTATGCCCTCTGGCTGAATAAGCAGCACCTCCCTACCACCTCTGGCATATGGGGCTGGCGCCCTACTCCTTTGAGCCACAGGCCCTGCCCTAAACTTAATTTTTATTAAATCATAACTGTATACATTTATGGGGTACAATGTGCTGATTTAATATACAATGTGGAATACTTAAACTAATTAACATAATCATCACCTCACTTATTTTTGTGGTATGACATTTATAATTTACTCTTACTTGTTTTGAAATGTACCCTTGCACTATGTACATTAGGTGATATCCTGTCAAATACCCTCTCTCTCTTTTTTTTTTTTTTTTGAGACAGAGCCTCAAGCTGTCCCCCTGGGCAGAGTGCTATGGCATTACAGCTCACAGCAACCTCCAACTCCTGGGCTCAAGCGAGTCTCCTGCCTCTGCCTCCCAAGTAGCTGGGACCACAGGCACCCGCCACAACGCCCGGCTATTTTTTGGTTGCAGCCGTCATTGTTGTTTGGCAGGTCCAGGCTGGGGATTCGAACCTGCCACCTTAGGTGTACGTGGCTGGCGCCTTAGCCGGTTGAGCTATAGGCGCCGAGCCTACCCTCTCTCTCTTAATTTTAAACCCAGAAAACTGTATTGTTAACTATATAGGAACCATGTTATATGGCAGATCCTCAGCTCACATAACAGAAACCGTGTGCCCACTGACTGACAACTCCCCATCTCCACCTCTCCCCAGCCACTGGCAACTTCCATTCCACTCTCTGCTTCCATAAGTTTGACTGTTTTAGTTTCTACATATAAGAAGAATCTTCTTCCACATGTAAGAATTTGTATTTCTATGTTTCGCTTATCTCATTCAGCATAATGTGCTCCAGGTTCATCCATGTTGTCCTAAATGACAGGGTTTCCTTCTCTATGGCAGAATAACATTTCTTTTGGGAAAATATTCCACATGTTAAAAATGAACATGACCTTTCACATAACACTAATATGGAATTACATTGAGAGATCAAGAACAGTCATTCAACTCTGAGTGTCTGTTACAGGGCACACAGTATTTACTTCCATTTACAGAGTGGTTACTATCAGAATAGGTAACAGCAGAATGCCTACTTCAAATTGGTTCCAACTCAAAGAAGCAAACATTTGCTTTGGAAAGAAAATCTTGTTTCAAGATGAATGGCATTTTCTTCAAATATAAAATAAAGCTATTATGCCACCACCATGATACTTCTTGTACCTGTATATTTACAAAAAGTGGTCAGAGCACTGGCTCCTGAATTTGGCTGCAGACTGGAATTGCTAGAAAGCTCAAAGCAGGATTATGCCGGGTCCTTTCCCCAGAAATCCAGACTTAACTGTATGAGGCAGAGCTTGAGAATCTTCAATTCTATTGCTTTCCTTTCTTTCTTTGTCTTTCCTTTCTTCCTCTGTCCCTCCCTCCCTACACTGAACAACCTAGAATACTGGGTAATAATGGGCATCCTATCTCAAAGAGAAAGCATTCAACATTTCACCATTAAAAAAATTGCTGTTGGTTTTAAAAACTACAATTCTCCATCTATTGAGATGATCATAAGCTTCTTCTATCTATGAATGTGGCAAATCACATTATTTATTCAAATTAAGCCAACCTTGAGTTCCAAAATCAATGCAACTTAGTCACTTGTCATATCCTTTTCATATGTCACTGGATTCAATCTGCTATTATTTTTGTTTAGAACTTTTGCACATGTTGACGGGAGGAACTGACCGTATCTTATAGTGTTCTCAGTCAGGTTTTGGTGTCAAAGTTATGCTAGTTTCATAAAACAAGCTTCTTTGTTTTCTAGAAGAGTTGGGTTAGATCATTTCTTCCTTAGACATCTGTGGTAAAGCATCAGGCTGAAGTTTTCTTTGTGGGGTTTTTTATTCTTCCCCTTAAACACATCTGTGTGTGTGAGGGAGGCAAATGGAACCAAACTTAACATGTTTGATTTCTTCTCCACCATCTTCTCAGATGTCTGTTATCCTCTGTTTTTCTAAATTTGGGCAGTTCTCTACTACTTACTCTCAACAATTTTGTTTTTCCCCTTTCTGAACAATTATTATCTCTCTTTTCTCAACATTTAGGTGAGTCCATCTTGCACCCTCTGCTGGGGAGCAGCACTTTGAATTTCCTCTAGGTGACAACTGTCCTCTACTTTAGGACTGTATCTGTAATTTGGGCACAGGTTGGTATGCACTCCAGCCACTGGCTACAGGACTGCTTCAGAGATAGACATGTGTCCTCATTCTGCATAATGAGAGTCAGACGGCTGAAACCTTTTGAAAATAGTCTCTTTGTTTCCTGCCTGCACTTGATCCTGAAAGACTATACACTGAGCTGGTCTAGTGATCTGCCACCACAAAGGGTAAGTGAAGTGTGAGAAGTTTCCAGTTACCGATTCAACTTAGTAATGTTTATAGCACTTTTCAGATTTTTAATTTCTTCTTAAGTTTGGTAAGTTTTCTTTCTCTAGGACATTAGCCATATAAATATTCAAATTCTTATGTTTGTTTTAACACTTGTAAGGTTGTAGCAATGTCCTTTTTTCATTACTGATATCAATTATTTATGTTTCTCTTTCTCTTCTTTAGTCCGTCTCACCAGGGGTTCATCAATGTTATTAGTCTTTTCAAAGAACCACAGTTAAGCTCTGTTGATACTCTATTGTATATTTGTTTAATATTCCATTAATTTATGTTCTCATCTATTTTATTTTATATCCTCCCTTATTTACATTCCACTTTTCTCTTTTTTTTCTAACTTTTTACAGTGGATACTTTGATGATTATTAGGCTTTTCTCCTAATCTATGCGTTTAAAGACTACAAAGTATCTGCTAAATATGGTGTTAACTGCATCTCATAAGTTGTGATATATTTTTATTAGTATGGTTTTCATATTATCATTCAGAATGCTTTATTAATTTCCATTATGATTTCTTCTTTGCTTCATGAGATATTTATAAATGCATTGTTTAACTGTCAAATGTGACAATTTTCTAGGTATCTTCTTGTTACTGAGTCCTGGCTTACTTCCCAACTTTAATCAGAGAACATGTATTGAATGATTTTGATCCTTTGAAACTTGTTCAGATTTGTTTGGGGTCTGCATACAGTTAAATTTTTAAATACTCTATGTGCGCTTGATAAAGCTGTATATGCTTCAGCTTTTGAGTAGAGTGTTCTACATATACCATATGAAGCTAATACTGTGGTTGAGTCTCTATTGTTCTGTCTTCCTATTCCAAAAGTTAAAATCTCTCACAATGACTGTAAATTTCTCTATTTCTTATTTTAGTTCTGTTAATTTTTGTTTTATGTATTTTGAGGCTCTATTATTAAACACATGCAGACATGAAATTATATCGTCTTAGTGAGCTGAATCTTTCATCTTTATGTTTTTGCCTTAAAGTCTACTTTGTCTGATATAAAAATACCTATGCTAGTTTTCTTTAGGTTAGTATTTATTGGTGTGCTCTTTCTCCATTTTTTACTTCTAACCTTTTGTATTCTTATATCTTAGTTTGTTACTCGTTTGTTCTGTTGGGTTTTCTTTTCACTTTTGACAATCTTTGAGATTTAGTTCATTTGCATTTAATTACTGATCTATTTTGGTTAAAACTATCATCTTATTAAGGACTGCTATGTATTCTCCATGTTCAATATTGCTTTTCTTCTCCTTCCTTGCCTTGATCTACTTTTCGTAATTCCTTCCCCACCCGGCCCCTCTACCATATGTGGAAGTTACCTACTATTTTATGATTCTCATAGGGTTATTCTAGAAACTACAATATGCATTGTTGATTTGACTATCTGCTCAGACAACACAGGAACCACACAGACCTTTAGATGCATTTCTCTCCTCTCAGGAAATTTCCCTATCTTAATGTACTTGGACGTGTCAAATATATTTTAAACCTCAAATGGTATTATCTTTTCACATAGTCAGTGTTCATTTAGATCTACCCATATATTTATAAATCCATTAGTTTTTATTGCCATCTGCATTCTGACCTTCCACTGGGGTCATTGTTCTTCTGTGTAAAAATATTCACTTTAATTATTTCTTCAGTTGAGATGTGCAGGTGACCAATCCTTTTGCCTTTATTTCATCTTCATTCTAGTAGGATTCTGTCACTGGGATTTAAGGCTGGTGCTGATTTTCCTTAGCGTTTTGAGGACAGTAGTATTGCTTGTCCTTTGGCATACACTGTCTGTGCCGAGCCAGAAGCTTCCAAACCTTTAACAGAGCTCCTCTAAAGGACCTGTTGTCTCTAGCATCCTTTAAATTTTTCTTTGTGCCTTTAGTTTTAGTACTTTAACTACAATATAACTAAGTGTAGATTTTGGTTTTTTTAAACTTTCAGAGCTTGGAAGCTCTCGAATGCCTTTTAGTTCTCTGCATTACCTCTTCAACATGCTTTTGCCTCACTCTCTTGCTTTCTGGGACTCCAGCGATATTATGTGTTTCACTACCTCACTGTAACCCCTATAGATCTTAGCTCCTCTTTTCTTTCTATCATATTTATTATCCTTATTTTACTTCAAATAGTTTCTTTTGAGCTCCCTTTTAGTTTGCTATTTCTCTTTCCAGTAGTGTACAAATCATCTGTTAAATTTAACTACTGTTTTTCAGTTCTACAACTTCCTTTTAGCTCTTTTTGGTGGTGGGGGGGAGCATAGTTTCTAATGCTTTAGGAAAATATTCAATCTACTCATTTCTCTCAGCACAGGAAACATCCATAGTTACCTGTCTGATAACCCTACCCACCT